TTCAACTTGGGAAAACAAAAAACTTCACGTTCTGAACTCATTTATTAATTATTCTCGTCTGCGGCTGCTGTTGTTCCAATATTCCATACATTATATTATTTTCAGATTGTATTTGACCTTTAAGTAAAGACGATTTTACGTTGAAGCTGAATCACTTTGACCTGAATCATATTGCATTTAATAAACATTTAAATATATTAACCTGTTTTTATAGTTCTTACTTAAAGCACTGTTATTCCTGACTGCTTGCACCACTATCTTTATAATTACGAATATTGCTTTTATCATCATCATCGTCATCATTATCACTAATAGATTACTATTACTTGATAGATCAATCGTACATACTGTATAAATCAGTGGAACTTTAACTGTTCCCAAGCACAGTAACGCAAGTAATCAAATGCCGCTTCAAGTTTCTTTGCAATGTACCTTATCTCATTCATCATTCACTTCGTCGCTCTTTTTTTTACTTACGTCACTTGCTACGATTATATGTAAGTTTAACCATATTTTTATTTGCCAATTTCAGTTTGTTTATCTTTTTCTCATAATTTCAAATTACACAGTAAAGGAAAGTAATTTTCACGATAACTATAAAATTATCATATTGTGCAAGAAGCTAATGATGATATAATAATAATGATGAAGTCATCATACTGATCTTAACCAACTTGAGTTATTACAATTTGGGATGATGATGATAACGATGTGAAAGATTTATTGCCTCATAACATCGTAGTGTTAAAATCTCTATCATGAAATTGTAAATCATTTTCATTTTTAACAATATTAATTGCTTTAAAAAAAATTTAAAATACTGCAGGCAATGTAAGTTTGATAATTTTCTCAAAGCAGTTTTTTTTTAATTTTTCTACAAATTAATTTGCAATAAAATTCGTTAACTAAAACTGTAAACTCTGTTAAAATTGCAAATTTGAATCGTTAAGTGATAAGCTATGATATTTCTCGTATATCAGTAACTAATACTTAATTTGCTTGATTTCTGTTAACAAATAAAAGTTATTCGGTACAAAATATGGCTAACATGATGAAGTTTTTTGAGAAAAGTTTCACACAGCTTGGATATTGCTTTATTCCATATTTCTATTCCCATGAAAAATTCTTCGAAAATGAAAAATTATCTTCTCTTACTTTTCTATTCCATCAAACTATAAAATTTCCTTTATTTTTATTACTTTGCATAGTTTCTGATAAACAAACATTATTTCATTTTGGCATCCTTGCAACGTTTGATTTGGAATGATTCTAACTTGCTGCTCATAGAACAAAAAATTGTTGGAATTTTACAGAAAAAATCCTTTAATTAATGCTTTCAATGTTCATTATTTTCTTTCATTTCATTGAATTAATTTGAAATGTGCAACTTATTTTGAACTAAAATATGCATATCAAACGTTGACAAATTCAAATTCGAACACACTGATAAACTGATTGATAAATTTTCGTTTTTGAGCAAAAAATTTTGTAATACTCTTTCAGCATTAAAAAGATTATATTAGGGGTAAGTTACTGCAATATAAATGCAAATTTGATCGTTGATTTATTTCATAAAAATAGAGTAATAGTAAATCCTCAAAAAAAGCACAACGAATATAAGTGCGTTGAGAATCGAATTACAGCGCTTCTCAAAAGACTGCTTAGTTTTAGTTTTAAATAACTTTCAGTACTGAAATTCGTGACATAAAACGAAACAGTTTAGTCGAATTCAAACATGTATGATGAAGGAGTAATGGTATAAACTGTGTAATACACACCTGATCCTTCAACGAATGCACGTCAAGATGTTTACTTCTTCTGTTACTTCCCACATTTCACATTTATCCTGAAATTTGAGCTCTAATTTTTTTTCATGTAAAATTTACTTTTATATGCAACAATTTTATTGATACTTTTTCTGAGAAATTATTTTTCCAAATTATTATTTAATACTTTTTCAAAGATTGGATTAATTATCAATAAAGTAAACAGTTCAATCGCAATTCACACTTCAGAAAAAAATACTTTCAATGTTTGCAAATTACATCAGTATTTGAAACTAAGTGTGACGCAGTGAATTCTTATATACTTTAGAATTTATCATTTATAAAAAAGTTGCATTCATTACGAAAAACGCAAATGATTTGTTCTTTATTAATAATCTCAGAAGAACTTTTTTCATAAGTGTTAAGCATACATCATGAATCATTTAATAAGTGCAGATTTTGCATTACAGTATTATTCGTAATTCTTCAAAGTACTTTTCTAAATCTCTATTTTCAATTTTAATTCAGCCTATACTTAAGGGTTGAGAATAATCCGTTTTGTACAGATGTATTTATAGATATATTCAAACGCTGTATGTGTATTAAGTATTTAAAAGATATAGTTATGTGAAAATATTCAGAAGCTTAAACATATAAAACTGGAAGTCATCTTTGTTGAAGAACGAAGACAATCTCAAAGAAGAAATTTGATTTTAACAATTCATTTCACCTGTTTTTCATTTGTGGATGATTCTGTGCTTAATGAATAATCTTTTTTAATTCTTCTCTGAGTATGAGGAAAATACATTGATGCCTTCAGACAACTGCCTGCCCGATGGGTTGAAAATTATTCACGTTGAAATCAATCTGTTAGGACAAGCTGTTCAAGACAGCTTTCGTGTAATTTGTAATAAACATATGACACAAACATATTCATAAAAAATTTTCATCGCATTTTCATCACTTTTAAATTTTATCATTAAGATATTTTTAAAAATATTTTAAATTGATTTTGCTTTTGTAAAAATTCAGAAATTCATAATTTTTTCAATTATCTTCACAGATTAAAAAGAATCATATGGCTTAATATTTGCCAATTTCCAAATAGTTTTGTATAATGTTACTGATTTTTTTTTTGGAAACAAAGTGCAAAAGTTACAGTAGAAGGTAAGAAAATAGATTTTTCCATCAATATTATAGTTTGAGAATACAAATAAAAAACTTTTCTGGCAACTTTGATTCTTATTCTTGTTGAGTTTAACAATCCCAGAAGACTACTGAGTAACTTTTTACTTCTGCAATCCACTCTCAAAGATCAGTTTTCAGACGCGTTCTAACTTTTCGTTAGTATTCTTCTTTTTAACCTAAAAATGCTTTCTGATTCGTTTCAAAATTGATCAGTTGTAGTTCGAAGTTCACAGCAGTAAGAAACTAGAGAGTAGTTGATTTTCATGTTGCAAACACTGACTAATTGAAAAGTTTTCAAGAGCTGATCATCAAGCATTTGTGCTGCCAATGCATTACGCGACATGTTGATATCTTGCGTGAAAAACAATTTAAAAAAATGCCTGATAAGTCATTGTTAACATGTGCTATAACTCTTCAGTCTTCTGCTGAGAATCGACACCTCTGAGAGGATAATCTTTTTTGTGCATTATTCCAGTTACTTTGAAAATCTTTCTTCCTTCTTCAAATTATACTTTTTTTATGTTGCCAATTTTATGAGCATGAAAATTTATTTTAAGGTTAAAGTGAAAAATTGAAGCTCTTAAATTCTCAAAAAATTAATTTCATCTCATTTTTGAGTCTCTAAATATATATTATTAAACTGAAAATTGTGACCTGCATTAATGCAGTAAATAAATATTTGAAAATTAATGCATTATTTTAAACAATTTTCTCAGCTCATTGCATAAAAAATAAACTAACAGTGAAAGAAGTTGGATATTTTTGATTATAAACTTTCTCAAAAACTCAAATTTTTTGCAGTATTAAAGTACAAACATAAATTTAATAAATTGCTATAAACACTGCTAATAATAATGCCAAGATTGATTTAGCAAAAAGTAAACGATTTTATTTCTACGCTCAAAAGTATGAACATGTAATTAATTTTTTTCCAAATAAATTCCAGAACTGCGTTTATTTTTGTTTTAGCTAAAAACTGCAAGTGAAAAATTGATGGAATTTTTTGTGCACAACAAAAAAATACAAAAAACAAAGTTGAAAAGTTTGCGAGATTTAAATAAAAGTAATAAGCGAGAAATTTAATTTCATACATAAGCATTATAGGTAAAATTTTCAATAATGTAATTGAAAATAGAAGATCAACTTCAAAGGAAAAAGTGTTGAAAGTTAAACATAAAGTCAGCAATGAACTGAATTTATATTGAGCAATATAATTTATCGCAGTTGTGCTAAGAGTTATGCATAAAACATATTAGAAAATCGAAGTTTAGAGAGTATTTAAAAGTTTCTGAAACAAAAAATACAGGAGAAAAAGCCTTTTCAAGTACTTCAATAACTACTCGTTCATTCCAAAAACTTACCACCATTATCATTATCGTCATCATCCAAAACTTATAAATTTAATCAAATATTAAGTTGAGAAATGCAAATTATTTCTTCTCATTAAATTACCGTGAAAGAGACAATATTAGTTTTTCACTGTTTTATATTTTTTGGAATTGGTTCCACGTCATAAGTTTTTCTCTAACTTTAGTTATTTTATTGAAGTTGACTATTAAAAGTATGTAGTAGTATCAAAAGTTATCATCAAGAGAAAGAAAACATTATGAGATAGATAATGAAACGAGGCTAACAATTAGAGATATAAACTAAATGTGATAATTTATAAGCTTTTAAGTTTATCAGTTTATTTTTATCATTTCAGTTTGCTGTTGTGAACTGCGATGATAGCAAATTTTTCATTACCTATTTAAAAATTTAAGTAAGACTCTAATTTTTTAGCATGCGAGATAATTACTCGTTACAAAAAAAGAAATTGAAAATTAAAAAAGTCTATTTGAATAGATTAAATAAGAGGCAAAAATGATAATCAGTGATGCAAAGCTTAATCCTGCAAATTTACAACTTTCTACAGTGCTCTAAAATAAATTTTTTCAAAACATTTTTCAAAGTTAGCTACATTTCAAAATTCGCAATAATTATCATCGTTTATAACTTACATTTAATTTATAATCACCTTGTACTACTGAAATTTAATACTGCAGAGATTATTCAAACAGTCCACCGTACAACACAACAATTATATCCGATATTCTAAACCGCCTTACGGATAAGTCCACTTACGATAAACGATTAAGACCAAAGTATGGTGCTGAACCAGTAGACGTAGGTATTACTATACATGTTTCCAGTATAAGCGCTGTTTCCGAGGTTGATATGGTTAGTTATTTCAGACTTTGCTTCTAAAACAAAAATTCTTTCGCATTTTTTAAAAATTTACTTGTTTTCCTTTTCACCTCCTAACTATAAAACAGAATCAGATCTATTTCGATTTGTATTCCAAAACTAACGATCAATAATTAATATATTAAACAAGAAGTTATATGTTCATTTTGAAAAACGTAAATGCAAAAAAAAGTTCAAATTCATATGATTCATCGTAGAAATTTATAATTTTAGAATACAACTAACAACTGACAGTGGTTACAAAGTAATAATATTTATTGATATCGAAATTGGTTTGAAAATGAATGTGGAATATGATAATTTAAGTCATATAAAACCAAATATTCAAATCATATAAAACCGGATATTGAAGTCTTATAAAATCGAGTATTCAAGTCATATAAAACCA